TTATTAAGGTACGGGGATTCAGTTGGTTGTTTAACAGACATTTAGGGGTCAGACAGATACAACCTAGCACCAAGTGTTTCTAAACAGTACTGAGGGTTTTGACGCAAAAATTGTTGAGGTCCAGAGTGAATGCAGTTTTGATGTAGGTAAATGCCTACAAGCCAAATGCCTGGCTTGCAGTCTATTTGAATCTTACCACACATGCACTTTGTACCTAAGAGCATTTATGTTGAGTCCTGATGAAAGCATTTCTCAGGATGACTTGAGAATGAATCAAATAGTTAGTAATATAATTTGATATATCCAGGCACATTAGTGGTATAGAACCAGACGTAGAAGTATTCAGGGACAAGTTTACTATCTGTGCATTTTGGTAGGTATTTGTTGAATAAGTAAATGTTTAGGTGAAAGGTGAAAGATGTCTTCATCTTTGTTTTTTCTTTTTTTTTGAGAGAGAGTGTGAGCGGGGGAGAGAGGCAGAGGGAGGGAGAGAGAGAGAGAGAGAGAGAGAGAGAGAGAGAGAGAGAATGTTAAACAAGCTCTGTGCTCAGTGTGGAGCCCAGTGTGGGGCTCGATCCCATGACCCTGGGTTCATGACCTGAGCCGAAATGATGAGTCAGATGCTTAACTGACTGAGCCCCCATGTGCCCCATAAATGTCTTCATCTTTGAAAGACAGCTTCCATATGCACCTCTGCAAATTAATAATTATCTCTGTGGAAGTGCAATGATGCTCCTGCTCATCTTTTCTCATGCATAAAATGGGTAAAAGAGAATCCATATAAATATAAGAGCAAACCACTGGCTGGACATTTCAATTTCACAATACATGTAGAAAAATGTCTGAGCCAGGTGTTAGAGCATTTGCAGGATTTTTTTTTCTTTCTTTCTTTTTTTTAGCCTTAATTTCTTCCTTTCAAATGTGTTCAAAGATACACAATGTGTAAAGTAGATAAAGGCAGGGTAGCTCTTGTTGAATAGAAGATATTACCCCGAACTAAGGCTTCCCTTCTCCCAAAAGACGTGTGCTGCTATTTCTTTATGAATCAGGACACATGGGGTCTTTAATAGCATTTAGAGTTATAGGCTTTATTCAATTATATTTCAATTTTATTTTTGGAAAATTTTATTTATTTTGAGAGAGAGAGAGGGAGAGAGAGAAAGAGAGGGTGCGCACATGAGCAGGGGAGGGGCAGAGGAAGAGGGAGAGAGAGAATTCCAAGAAGGTTCCATGCTCAGCGCAGAGCCCACTGTGGGGTTTGATCTCATTACTGTGAGTGAGATCGTGACCTGAGCCGAGATCAAGAGTCAGACGCTTAACCGACTGAGCCACCTGGGCAGGCCTAAATGTTACTACTTTTTAAAACTGCAGTTTCTATAGTTGTATTATCCATTTCTATACATTGCAGGTGGTTTGTGATAGAGGAGCACAGTATTAAATATCACAATACCAAATATAGCAAGGTAAGCAAACTTCACTAGGAGAGTACTTCTAATTTATTTTTTGTTCAGAATCTCAAGAGTGTTCATAAGAGAAGATAGCAAAAGTTTATCTCCGAGGGCAAATTCTTCCACAAGTTAGTGCATGGTATTCAGCAACAGACATGGTTTTAATTCCAGTAAAATAAAAGTATTATTGCTATTCTCTAAATTCATTTTACAAAAAAGGCAAAAGTAATTTTAAAAATAGTATGATTAGACCAGTTTTATTTCCTTAGAGACTCAGTGTCTGAAATGGAGCACACTATATCAAGACATCGAGATGAGGAGTAATGTAACTTACGATGAAATTCAGCACTTGCCTACCAGTTTTCCAAATTACTGATATTTAGTAACATTAATTCTGGTTTGTTTTGTTTGGGAAAACCTTACTGAACCTAGGACAAAATGGCGTGATTTTGGTGGATAAATCTTTTGACGTTAGCTGTTTTGTTTTGCTTTAAGAAGTGTTTGCTAATGCTCATGATTTCCCAGCATCATGGAGTGTCTCCGTTTCAGCTCGTGTGGCAGGCTTGAATCTTAAGCCAAGAATGCCTTCTCCACTGGTGAATTTCCTTCAACAATTAGAATTCTTACTCCTTTAGAAATAGGCTACTCATACTCCTTCTCGTACATTCTATTAAAAGCAGAAGCCCTATGCATTTTGTTCCCGGCTGTTAAATGTGGCAGCATTGTCTCGAAGCCGTCACTTTAGCCATGGGTTCTGCTGAACAGCATGTTGTTCATTTCCTCCAGGTGGAGCTCTCCATCGTTACTGCACAGTCTGATGTGTTTCTTGTGGAACTTTGTAACCTGAGCCAAGGTACAGAGAATTGGACTGCCCCTTGTATTCAGAATGTCACCTCAAACCAGTTACAGCATCTTAATATTACAAAGAACCGCACACTGGGGGACATGATAAATATTTCAGCATATTAGCCTATGCTGTGACATTAATATTCCAACTCTTTATGGATGAGACAGTCTCTCTCTATTTCTTTTTGAATGCTAATAAGCAGGAGAGGCTATATATACAGTGATTAAAAGGATCGTCTCTGAAACCAGATTGTCACCTGAATCCTGTCTCTTTACTTGTTTGACAAGTTGTACAACCTCTCTGGAGCTTAGTTTCCTCATCTTCTAAACAGAGATGACGGTGGTAATGACAGTAATCTCTTCCTGGGATCATTGTGAGGATTAAAGTGTAAAATCCATGTAAAATCCTTACTTAGCATAACCAGTGTTTAAGGACTCAATTCATGGAAAACTTAAATGCACACGTATTGTTCAGGAAACATTTCCTTTTGTGTAAAACAGCAACAGTGAGTTATAGTTGGCATACATTGAATGATATCTTAATTTTGAGAATTGTCCACTCTACAATTTCAGGAACCAGAGTATTGCGGATATATGTACAAACTGAGTACATTTAGAGCATTTTTCTACTGAAAATGTTCAGAAATTAAACGGTTAAAATTAGAGAAGAGGGACGGAGGAAAAGAGACATAGAACAAAGAGCCCTGTTTTAAAATCCTTCTCTGTTAGCCATGTTGCTGTCACAATTTTATGGCTCGCGTTAATGAGCTGAACTTGCATCCTATAACCGTGAGACACACAGTCTCAGAAACAACAGCAAAGCAGCAATTTATTATTACAGTGTTTTGATTAACTTCTTCTATTTTTCCAACTCGATGTTACTTCAAGTATTCAGATCTAGGTAGGAAAGATTTACTTCTGAAGACAAAGCTCTGCTCATCAAAAGTAAATGTAAGAAAACTTTAGGAATTATGTACTATTGAATTTGTAAGATGACATTTGCAAATCAATTTAACTACGGTTGATCTTTTAAGTTTTTTTTTTTTTTTAGTTTTTAAATTAAATTTTTACTAAAGAGCATGAGCCAGGAGAGAGGAGCAAAGGGAAAGAGAAGGAGAATCTTAAGCAGGCTCCACACCTAGCATGGAGTCCGATGCAGGGGTCGATCCCACAACCCTGGGATTATGACCTGAGCTGAAATCAAGAGTCGATGCTCAACGGACTGAGCTACCAAGGCACTCCTATTTCAATTCTTTTGGATCGCTGACAATTTGACCTTAACTGAGCTGTGCTGAGAGGAAGCCAGAATTTGGCTTTATAGTTGTAAGGTTTTGAAAAAATGTGGTTTCTTCTTTCTTCAGAGTGGCAGGGACATGGGCAAAGTAAAATGCCCATCCTCTTTTCAATCATAAAATTTGCCAGTAAACTTTTCAGAAATGTGTCCCGGATTTTTTTTTTTTTCCTGTTGTTGTTTTAACCCACACGTGGAAGATTGGTAGCAGTGCCCGTTATGGCCCTGGATCATTAGGCCTTCATCGGGTGGATCTGTTTATCGTTAGATTACTAACGTCATACTATCTTTGCTATAGAGGCCGAGTTTATTGTATAATCCATCAAAAGATGCCTCAGTTCAATTATTTTTATGTAGAAGTATTACCATATTTTTTTGTTGTTGTTGTTGGGAGAGGTCATTTCTATGCCTAATGTGTGATAATTTGGTTCATGATATTCTGCATTGTTGACGAAGTCCAGTTTTAATGGACTTAGAATGTAATATTTTCATGGTAAAAACAGTATTAATAATGTCCAATACAGATAAGAATTAAGGTCTTTAGAAGTGGTAAGTAATGAAGAAATACGTTGTGCCCCAACATTCCCACCCCGGAACCACAAACTTAAGAGGGGTAACAACAAATCTTCAGCCGTACCTCAAGTTTAAGGACGTTTCACAAGTGCTGACTTTGTCCTGTGAGACACTTTGAAATCTACAATTAAAAAAAAAATCTATTTCAATGTTTCTGCTTTCTTTGGACCCTAAGCATTTGTGTATCTGTCAGATAAGCTCATCATGGTCCGTTCAATTCATAGAGATAAACCAGGATTTGGGAGACCAGGATTTGGGAGACCCAAAGCCCTCTGCTTTGTCCTTTGTTGCATAACAATGACAACTCATTTCATCTCTTTATACCAGTCAATCCACTTATCAAAAAACTACTGTGGGGGCGCCTGGGTGGCGCAGTCGGTTAAGCGTCCGACTTCAGCCAGGTCACGATCTCGCGGTCCGTGAGTTCGAGCCCCGCGTCGGGCTCTGGGCTGATGGCTCGGAGCCTGGAGCCTGTTTCCGATTCTGTGTCTCCCTCTCTCTCTGCCCCTCCCCCGTTCATGCTCTGTCTCTCTCTCTCCCAAAAATAAATAAACGTTGAAAAAAAAAAATTTAAAAAAAAAAAAAACTACTGTGAAATCTGTTTAGTTACCGTCTAACGTAATGATTGCAAAAAGTCAATGAAAAATACAAAGCATTACATAAATCTAAGAAAACAAGTCTGGATTCATAGGAAAAACATCTTCTGAGGAAGAGATGCCTCACAGTAGTTTACACGAAAAATGATGTTTGGTATTACTTCGTAAGTTTCAGCGTGGCTAGGTTCTAGTCCTTCCTTTGGATGTTAATTTCTAGTATAAGCAGTATATGTGGTTTGTCATAAGGCAGTTGTCCTTTTAGTGTTCACTGCAGAGAGAGCAAGACTAATATCCATTCATGTTACGTTTTGCTTCTTATTACCAAAAAGATGCAGTGTTTCCTCATGGAAAAATTCAAAGTAAATACTCTCTATCATTCCAAAATATAAATACAATTCTAAGAATACATTTTCAAATGACGTGTCATCCTCATCAGTGTTCTAGAAAATGTTCCATACTCTATTCAAAGTTCAATTTCTATCCTAGAAACAAGTAAGTGATTAGATTTGAAGACTGGGTCAAGGAAACAAGACATTTATGAATGATTATAGCATTTCATATAATTAATTATAGTATTGGTAGAATGGTATTTCAAGTGTCTGAATCAAAATATTTTTTCAATTTTCGTCCCTTCGAAGTTTTATTTGCAACTACTATTACGTACTGCATGAAGGATGTTAGGACTTTGATGAATGGAGAGCCTAGAAGAACACATCCGTGTGTTTTATCACCATTTATGAATATCTATTTAAAGTTGGTTTAGCATTTCCAACATTCACTCCCAGCAAATGGAAACAGGGCCTTTCATTAGAGAAGGAGCCATAAGGGCATTTTGCCCCTGCCTCAATTTCTAAAGAGGCTTCACGTGTGGGCTTTCAATGTTACCTCTAAATGGGGTTACAGGAAGATACCGACAGGATCAAAAGACAGGGCTTTAAATATGCAATGTATTTATCCAAATGTACTGTAATTTAAGAGCTTTTTAAGAGTATTTCTTCATTTTTACAAATATTCTAAGAACTTCAGCCATGAAGGTTGCCTAGGATCCTTAATTTCAAAGAGGCCTGGGAGGAAAAATTCTAGATAAGGAAAAAGAAATTATTTTCCTTCTCCACCTCCATGGCAGGAGAAATACCATTTCAGAAATAAGTGTAAGATGTGAAGAATCTGTTCTGAGGGTCTTTTCTCCTTGGGCTTAGGACGACTCCGAGGTCTGTGAGCCCCAGTGAGCATGAGGTGGGGAAAAAGGATTCAAGGAGAGTGGGATGCCTTGGCTGGTCTCCCCGTAAAGTGGATTCTGAACACCAAGAAAAGTACCCCCAAATAAATGCTTTTATCCACTGATATAACATGTGGTGACATGGCAAGTGCTGTGCCAGCATAACACCACAGAGAATGATGTGATAAAATACTTGCTAAAATTTCCTTTCTAAGATACAAAGCAGGATTTTATATTTTTTTCCATGCCCACATGTACACATGAACACAAACATATTTGTGACCATTACAGTTACTCATTTCTCAGAGTTAAACTATTAAAAGAAATGTAATGTGATTAATAATGATTCTAAAACAATTGGTTTGGAGCTAAGTAATGCCAGGACAAGTAATATGATTGGGCCAGGTCAATGATAAATCCATCTAGAAGGGATTCCTACACAAGCGCCTTATTAGCATTGGGAAATGGGAAGATTGTGGAGAGCATCAGGATGCTGGAAGCAAACACAGGGTGTCTTCAACTCCACATTTACTCATCAGTTTTTCAAAAAAAATTTTTTTTTCAACGTTTATTTATTTTTGGGACAGAGAGAGACATAGCATGAACGGGGGAGGGGCAGAGAGAGAGGGAGACACAGAATCGGAAACAGGCTCCAGGCTCTGAGCTATCAGCCCAGAGCCTGACGCGGGGCTCGAACTCACGGACCGCGAGATCGTGACCTGGCTGAAGTCGGACGCTTAACCGACTGCGCCACCCAGGCGCCCCTACTCATCAGTTTTTCAATGGAAGGTTTGCCTTTTATATAAGTAGATACGGTTGTAATAGAAATCCTCTGAAAATCAGTAGAACATTCTACTCAAATCCTATTTGTTGAAGAATTTAGTGGACAGCCCCATTAGTTCCAATGGACTATAACTTCATGTGAGTTAAAATATTAGGGCCAGGCATGCATCGTGGACATTTGTTTGTAATTTCTGAATTACTTTAACATAGGTTTTTGGAGTGTCAGAAAAATGATCTCCAATCAGATTAATAAATCAGGCAAAGGTGTGGGTTCCTTCTATAAAACAGATGAGTAATAATCAAATGTGTGTGTGTGTGTGTGTGTCTGTGTGTGTCTGTGTGTGTGTGTGTGTAGTTAGGAAAATAGCATAAGAGAAAGGGAATGAGAATTTAATTTGTGTATGTATTTCCTTATTCAATAATTAATATAAAGTAGTTTGATGGGGGGCACCTGGGGGGGCTCAGTCGGTTGAGTGTCCAACTCTTGGTTTTGGCTTAGGTCATGATTCCAGGGTCGTGGAATAGAGCCCCACATTAGGCTCCACACTCAGTGGAGTTCTTCCCCTCTGCCCCTCTTCCCCACTCGTGCTTGCGCTCTCTCTCTCTCTCTCTCTCTCTCTAAAAATATAACATAAATAAAATAGCTTTATGAAATACTTTCAAGTTGTTCTGTTTATTTTTCTCTCAAAATTCTTTGTACAGTGTGAAGTATTTTTTTTTAAACTGGACAACATCTGAATTTACAAATTATAGTAAATTAAAAACCCTAGTAAAGTTGAATTTTAATTACCTGTATATGGATCATCCATGATAGACTTTAATTGTGGACCTGTGCCTTCTCTTTGGTATTCTTGTGGCTTTTTTGCCCTGATCTAGGCTAACTGATACAAACTGACTTTATTATTAAATGCAAGGCAAAGTTTGCTTTATAATTTTGAATTTTAGTGCATGGGATTTCTTCAATGTTGTGCTCTTTCTACAGCATGAATAAGTAAAATTTGACCCCATCATCATTAACAGAATTGGTGTAGAATTGTACTCAATTATACACAAGGTGCATATTTCCTTTCTACAAGCTTCAAGTGTGGTAGTGTTCATAACAACTGTACATACACCTGAGAAATTTTCTTTGGCATTTATGTCTCACTTACAACTCAACTTGTTTATTCTTCTTCTTTCTGGTGTATTTCATGTACCAGTGTTAGTGCTGTGGTGGAAGATTGATGCCCTGCATCACACTTCTGAGTAGGGAATCACACTGTCCGAGTCAGTGTCCGCTTTTATTTAGAGATATTTAACAATCTGTCAGCTTCACTTAAGTTATTGGCTTTGATGAGAGAAATACCTTGGATTTTGAAAAATTAGTATTTTAAAAATGACTGATAGGAGTATTGATTTCTAATGGGATCTAGATCATGATTCTGATAATAGAAGCTCTATAGAGTGTACCTGAGAAGCTTGCTCTGATCATCAGCCTGAGCTTTTGTGGACATAAATTTTGAAACACTGATGTAAAATAACAATTGAAATAAGTGGCCAAAATGCATTTCCAGGTGTGTCATTTTCTGTGGAAGGGATGATTCACTGTAGCAAATATATACATAAGTTCTCTTAGAATTTTCTGTTATTTTGACTTAAAATGTTTTAAAAAGCCATACTGAAGAAATGCTCACTAATGCAAAATCCAAAGTTTAGTGTTTCTAGTTGGGGCTAAATTTTTAAAAATATATGTAAATTGGATAAAACTTTGATGGTGCTAGCAGTAAGTTTAAAAACCAATGTTGGCAATTTTTCATAGGAAAATTCACTAGAATATCTGCACACTGTGATTACGTTTCCTAAAAGAAATGCAGAAACCTAAACAGATATCCATCCAGATGTGGGTGATGTTTTGTTCTCCACATCACATTATTAGCTATTACTAAGAGACATGCAATCAAGTTGGATAGATATTTCTTGAAATGATGCATGGTACGCAGTGCATGCTTTCATTGTGCTTCCTGCCATTATGGAATAATGCGTCTTACTGGGAAATACAGTGATCATTTCTGTTGACTCATGTGCAGTCAGCTTATATAATAACACCTCTATTTTGTGAATCATTTCAGATTTCAGAGAGCTATGCCTTCTTACCAAGAGAAGCGGTGACACGGTTTCTAATGAGCTGCTCAGAGTGCCAGAAAAGAATGCATTTAAACCCAGATGGAACAGATCACAAAGGTAGCTGTGGTGTCAAATAGTGAGACTTAAAGTCGTTTTACTCGTAATGGCAGTTTATATCTGACATCTTTATAAACATGTGGTAGACTGAAATAGTTCAACAAGTCCGATCGTCTCGTTGATTCAATCCAGAGGCAGTCAATTTTGAATATCCACTTACAGAGTAATTCTGTGCCCATTCTCAGAAAAAAGGTGGTTTTGACTGTGGCAAATAACTTTTTTCCCTATAATAATATTTTAATTTTCACATATCATGTGTATTTCATGGGATGTTAAACATAGTTAGCAAGGAACCTGATGTTCCATCAATCTCCTTTTAAATCTACCAGTTCCTTATTTCTAGAAGTGAAGAGTATAGTATGGAGCTCCTCTGCTGAAAATTTTTACATGGAAGTTATAATTTGACTTTAGTTCTCATTGAAAATTACTTATATGATTTTCCTAATCGGTGAGTTTCTCTGAGAGTTTAAAATAATCTCAAAGAGACATTTAGATTAGTTCATTCCTGTGTGTTGGGGGATGAATAGACATAGAAGAAAAAGATGAAAGGAAAAAATGCGCAAATTTCCTTTTTTACTCAAGTAGCACATAGGAACTGTAGGTGTGCAGCAAAGGAGAAAAATACAAAACTATCAATGATTGTGTTTAATCGCTGTATTGGGTTCATGCTTTGCTGCCAGGGTATCAAAAAGCTTTCCTGTAGTTAGAAATAACTAGTTTATCCGTAGAGTTAGTTTGTCCCACGTACCTTTGTATGGTTACCTTTTCCTACCATCCATCCGTAACGCTACCAACCTCCTAAAGACTTGGTATCTAGAACCAGATTTCAATTTTAACAACGTGGATCGCTCTGAAATTACAGGTAGAATGCAGTATCACTTTCACACCCATTAAAAATGTTTTATTGCAGATAATGGAAAACCTCCGACTTTGGTGACCAGCATGATCGACTACAACATGCCAATTACCATGGCCTACATGAAGCACATGAAGTTGCAGCTGCTGAACTCACAGCAAGATGAGGTAAAATGGAAATACCGACTTCCAAGTCGGAATGAAGTTTGATAACCATGACTATCGTATTAAGCGTGATGGCATTTTGAAGATGGTAATTTATTCTTTAATGAAAGGAATGTTACTGGCATTGCACAGTTGGAAAAAACAGGCAGAAACTTCTAGTGCCTGACAGAGAGTCCCTGTCTCAACACATCTACCTTAGTGCTGGGTGGGAATGTGTTCCTTCCCAAGAAAGCTTCTTTTTCCTTAATGGACCACCATCAAACTAGCCTTGGTAAAGTGCTAGAAAGTTCAGGGGAAAGTATCCCAAATGAGTGAGTATCCAAGGAAAGTGTCCAGTAGTATTCAGGCTATTTTTCCTGGAAATCACAAAAGTCAATTTAATGGGCATTTCAAGTATAATCATTTCTCCACCATCTAAATCTTTTGTATGTTTTAAAGGTTTTTTTGTCCATTATTCTCTATACCAGTGTGTATTTTCTAGAGATAATTTGTTGTGATTCTTCCTAATTAGGGGTATTTTGATGTTTCAAATTATCCTGTTTAATTTGTAGAGTAGAATCGAGATGTGCGCTTGCTGGCATGTATTAGACACAAATGCATACTTGTTGAATATTCTTTAGGATACTAATTAAGTGTTCCGTTTGGTGGAAGTATCTCAAAGATAGGGGCCAAGTTATATATATTCCACCACCAAAACTTGTAGCAATAGGGGCTTAGGAAATCCTTGTTAACTAGTCAGTTAACAAGCCATTAATCAATACGCACATTCAGATGATCAGTATTAGGAGTGGTTTCTCAGGCTAATACGTACAATCCTTCTTGAAATTTCTCAATAACAGGAAATGTGGTTAAATATTTATTTTTCAAATACAGCGTTATTTGACGAAGTGTTATAAAATTCACTTTGTTGGGCTTACTTTAATGAAACTCATATTTTTTGTTTTTCCTCTTTATTTGAGCAGGTTTAATCTTAAAACTATATTATAAAATTGTTTTATCTCAAAAAACCATTGAGAGTACAGTTTGTGAGAAGATCTGTATTTGTACAGTGGCAGACGTGGATTTCATATTATCAGATGGCTACATATAAATGATTAAGTAAATAGTAATAAAATCTTTGGGTTAAAGATATAAAAGACAACTAAAAAATACTAATGTCTATCCATCCGGGAGAATGGAAAGTTATTCTCCTGATTTATTATATAATTGGAAAAAAAATTAAACCTCATAAACTAGTTGGAGCTGTCAAATTATTTGTAGGAAGCTCATTTAGATGTTGGTACGTTTATTTCTAGGCTAAAAAGTAAGAAAATCAACTCTGTGCCAACGGTACAGCCCACATATGCCGAATTCTTCTGGCTTCTAAAACATCATAAGTATTTCACACACAGGGAGTAGATCCTTTCAATTTATAACTGGATTAGGAAAATAGCTCTCATCCTTACATCTTGAAAATACCAATTGGATGCACACTGCCTTCAAAATATTCATATGAATGGCTAGATTATTTGCAAAATTTTAGAAGTTGTGATTATTGAAAGATAAGAAGGTGATTAAGTAAATTACATTAAAACAATTCAAGTGAGATATTTCTTTGTGCTCAGTTATATTTAAATTTTAATGCGTTATTTCAATTAGTTCAACCAATATTTACTGAGTACCTTCTATGTAACTGGTACTCTTGTAGATAATGGAGATAAACTTCATAAATTGACAAAAACATTGCCTTTATTAAACTTATCTTCTAGTTGCAGGGGAGAAAATAAAGGACATAAATAATAAAAGTATGTATAGAAGAAGATGCTAAGTGCTATTAAGAGAAATAAAGATGGCCAGGAATGAGAATCAAAATACTTTAATAATGTAAGATCAGTTGGCCTTCTTACAGACTGTTGATGGAGTTTGAACCAGAATAATCTTACAGGGGGAGAGTTTGGCAATAATTATTAAAAATTTTTCAATGTTACCCATATGCTTGACTAGAAATTTATACTAAGGAATGTGATGTATGGAACAACTCAAGTATTAGGATGTTTGTTGCATTGCTAATAGTGAATGATTGGAAATATTTTCAAGATCCAACAATGAGGAATTGTTAGATTTTCACTGCCCCATATGGTAGCCATTAGCCATATGTTGATATTTAAATTTAATCGGATATTAATTAAAATTACCTAAAATTAAATTTTTAGTTCTTCAGTTGCACTGGCCATGTTTCAAGTGCTCAATAGCCAAGTAAAGCTGGTAGTCACCTTACTGCATAGGGAATCTTATAGAGTAATTCCATCAGCACAGAATGTTTTTCTGAACATTACTGGCTAAATAACCAACATCAGGGGCACCCACGGAGCTCATTGCACTGCATGTTGCAGAACCCCAGCCCAAGATTCTGATTCTGGACATAATGTGTGACACGTGGTGATCAGAATTTTTAACAATATCTACACTCATGCACACTAAGGTCTGAGGTGGTGCATTCCATAGAAAGGCTAATAGTATGGGCTTTGAGTTGGCTTGAGCATAAGGTAAGTGAAAAACAACAAAGATTAGATTGTGGGAGCGGGTTTCAAGCAGTCTTATGGAAAACCCTTACTGTTTGAGCAACTTACACATTACTTGGTAGATTTGAATTGACGAATATAGCTGCAATTTTATGAGCAGAGAAGTGGCACTTTCTGAAGTGGAAAGGTTAATTTAGCAGTGGATGATGAACAGGACTGGTGGGGAAGAAATTGGAGGTGGGTAGAAACCTAGGAGACTATAATTAATCATTCAGGAAATGGGAAAATGAGATCAGGACAAATAGCAATGGAAATCAGGAGTCACAGGGTAGAGACCTCTAGAGGTAAAATCTGGAACTTGAAAACTAAAATAAAATAAATGGATCAGAGGATCTAAATTCCATGCAATTGTCTTAAAAGGAAAAAGATTGGGAATGAAATTATTTGTTACAGTAAAATATTTATTCTAATTTTTAAAAATTAAGCCTTAGGGAAGCAAATTCTATGGTAGTTGGCCATGGCTTTCATTATCCTAAGATTTTAATAACATAAGGAATAAAGTCAGATTGAAGACTCTCTTTCTGATTGTCATATAGAATAAAATACCCATAGGGGAAGAATTCAGATGAATGGCCTACAGATGATCATGAATAAAATAAAATACTTTAATATCCTATCAGTCAAGTTTTCCAGTTCTTCATTCTTAGAAATATTTGGTAATTTCTTCCTAGACTTAGCATTCCTGACAATTAGCATTGTCTGTATGTTGATAATAAAAAACCGCAACATTAGGTTTTAGGCACTTTTTCCACCTCTTATCAAAGATAGTAATTTAATCAGTCAATAATTTGAATAGAACTTACAGAATGAATACATGCACTTAGTTTTGTTAAAGCTCTTTATAAATGTAAGCAATTGGATAATTTATATTCTAATAAGGAGTAGAATTGTGAAAAATAAAAGTATATCAGAGGAAATCATAAAGGAAAATATTTAAGATAGTCACAATCATTAAGACACCTATGATTAATAGAATGGTGATTTCTTTTAAAATTAAAATAGCAGGTACAGTTGGTTGTATAACCATTTAATTTGTTGTCCACATTTCTTAAAATATATACTTATAAGACTGTTACTTATTGATGATAAAATGTGTATTGATTATTCATAATGTGCTGTAGCAGTTTATATAATCATTCCATGGATCAGATATTATCTCTTTGTATCTAGCTTTCCTTTAAACTCACACATACATTCTGACATATACATACATTTACACACACACGTGTGAATACACACACACACATATATTTAAGATGGTATATATTAGAGATGAAATTTTACTGGACTATGTATATTTAGCTATTTTTAGTATATATAATAAGTGCTGATTCTACAGACTATGTTTATATAAAATACACAGCTAGTTTATAAACACATACTTAAATTTACTTTATATTTTATTTTATATGTATATTTTTTACTATTTAATATATTTAAATGTATTTACTATTATATTTAATCTTTACTATTATATTTAAATTTATTTTTGTATGTGTTCATAAAACATAATATAAGTCCTATTATATACTGCAGAATTTCTTATGTATTCTACATAAAAATATTAAAACAGTTTTGTACTTATTTATCTGACCTTGTCCTAAGTACTTTAAATATTAGTATATTTGCTTAACCTTTATATAGCCCTATGAGATTAATACTATTATTCCCATTTTATAGATGAAGAAATTGAGGCACAGAAAGGTTAGGTTACTTATTTAAGGTAACACATCTAAGTGGCAGAGCTGGATCTGAATCAGTCAGTCTGGCTGTAGAGAATGTACTCTAAAATTCCATCATGTCAGACACTATATATAGTGCATATAATAAATATCTGTATCACCTACGTGTGTGCATATATATGTAGGCATATGTATATGGTACACACTGATAAGATTGATGTGCACATTGAATTCTGTTATTTTTTTCTCTTTTTAATATATATATTTATTTCAGATGCTTTGGATTTTCTTAGAATTTAGAATTTGAGAAAACATAATGTACCAAGAGAGAGGGCATGCCGCTGGGAGAAGTCTATGTGGCTGATTGCCCAGAGGCCTCACAGGGTGTCATTTCCTTGCTGAATTAATGAAGAGCTAGTTCTACTCAGTATACCCGGGCATGATCAGACCTTTTGTAAAGGAAGGACACCAAAATCATCTTGACCTGACCTATGGATCAGAATGCCAATTTGTTAGTCTACTAGAACGTTCCTGTCCCCTAACCATAGCAACTTCTTTGCTGATACCAAGATGTCATTTAGGAAGCCAAGGTAACTCTTCCTGTTCAAAGAAGTCATTTTCTCAAGCGTGAGTGACTTCATATGAATCCCAGTTCTGGTGTATTATAGTGGGATACATTCTTTAACTGCTCTGTGCCTCAATTTCTCAATCTGTAAAAGTGGATGAATCCTGGTACCCAATTCACAGGTTGTGATAAAGATGAAGTGAGTAAACAAGTATAAAGAACAGTTACGTGTCACATAAATAGCACTACTGCTATGGCGATTGCTGATTTTTATATTAATGCTAAACTTTGAGATCAGACATTTACAAATTAAAGTCAAACCTGGTGATTTTGATTAAGTACTTGCAATATGTTACACAAGTTTCTCAGGCCTTTCTGCCTACGTAAGCATACCATTTGGCTGAAAATCGGTTCTCTAAAAGGAATTTGCTTCAGTGAAACGATTTACAGCAAAATATCTTAGACTTGGTTTACCTTAATTTTTGACAGGTTTTGATGAGTTGGGCATTTGGAAAACTGGCCTTTTGGTAATTTAGCCACTCGGCGAACTGGCTTTTGGTAAATGGATCTTTCACACTTCTACCTAGAACTTGTTTCTGTGGTTGCAGTACAGCATATATTCACTTATAAGGAAAGAAGGGAGGGGTTAAAATCTTGCTTTCAGGAAATGTGGATTTTCAATCTAGCCATGTAAGTTTGTCAATAATTAGAATCCATCCTGTTTGCCAAGGAAAATTTTTTGTGTAAGGTTTTCTTATCGCATCCTAAGATTTTTGCTTATAATATTTCATTAGGTCATTTATTTTTGGACTCAAAACATATATTTCTCTATATTTTATGTTTTGTGACTGACTGTCCTAGGGAAGTTTTTACTAATTAAAAAAACCATTTTTTCATTGTTAAGGATAATTCTCCCAAGTACATCCTTCCTAAACATGTTATTTTGCCTTTTAAATCTGCCTGTACTTAGATACATTGTTTGATTTTTCACAAGCCTTGAAATTCCTTAAAGAGAGAAATTATTACATTATTTATTTCAAGTATCTATTAATATGTAACACAATTTACTGAGTTCTGTAAAAGCTAACTTACTGGCTAAGCTCTAATTGACCCTGTAGATATAATGGTCACTATTTGAATGTGTTATATTTTATGATGCTTGATGATATTTTAAAACCATTTTCAGGATGAAAGTTCAATAGAAAGCGATGAATTTGATATGAGCGATTCAACACGGATGTCAGCCGTGAACTCTGATCTTAGCTCCAATCTTGAGGAGAGAATGCAGAGTCCTCAGGCTCTTCATGGGCAGCAAGATGGTAAGCCTTTCAAACTGAACAAACAAATCAACAAAACAACAAAAACCCAAGTCAGAGTTTATTTAAACAACAACCACCTCATGCTTTTGTGCTGATTTTTTTTTATCTGTTCCTGTGGGGACTTTTCTGTAGACTCAGGTTCCATTATCTACTTCCTTATTTTTGGATTCAAGTACTTTGTTCAAAACTAGGGTGATAGAATGGTTTATAAACAGATGTTAGTTATAAAAATCCAAGCTTTCCCATGTTTTGCTCCCTGAACTTAAATGTGTTGTACCAATGTAATTTGGGTTTCTGCAGTGTTTCCTAGCTTTGGTTTCTCAGGCCATAATAGTAAAGAGTTTAAAATGATCAGAAGAGTAATTTGGATGTTTTAATTTTCCTAAAAGACAAAGTTGTAATTAAAAACAATTTATCTAAAAGAATAATTTTACCAGAGTGATTTTGCTGGGGTAAGAAGATTTTTGCTGGGATTTTGAGCTACTTTATAAAGCTGTAAGTGAAAAATCAATCATAATTTCTTATTCCTGGGTCCATTGAAAATTCCAGAATTATCCAGTTGTTGTTGATAGGAAGAAAACTGGATAGGTAGAGAAGGTAGACCAGGCAGTTAATATTTTAGGTCTACTGTTTGCAGAGATCTTTGAAAGTTATCTTTATAGATTTCTGTCTTTGTAAATATAAAATTATGTATGGAAGTAAATGTGCCTTACTAAGGTAATCGTGAATGAAAATTACGGGTTGTAAATAGGAGGCAGTTGGCCAATTTCATCCAACATTAGTTTATTATTCCTGTCATTAACAAGTTTACATGAACTTTTTGACTATATAGTTTTGTGCCTACATCTCTAGATAGGGAAATGAAAAGTTTTCCTTGCTTTCTCTGACGCTTGCTATTAAAAACTGGTTGTAAAAGATTGCTGCATTTCTAGCTGCTGATCTGCTTTTGCTGTCAAAGTTTAAGAAATCCCTAGTTTTAGGTATACCCAAATTTCAAAAAAAAGGTGGCAAACATGTTTCTTGTTCACAATTCAGATGAGCCTAAAAGATTTTGGTGTCCTTGTTGGCATGAATTACAAGGAATGACGCATGCACTGATTGATCAGTGGCTTTAAAGTCTTATTTTACCTACTACACAGTGGACTAGCTATTGTGGTAGAAAGGACATTTACTTGGGAAATTTGTTTCTTTTTTAATGCTTATTTATTTTTGAGAGAGAGACAGAGAGAGTGCGAACGGGGGAAGCGCAGAGAGAGAGAGGGAGACAGAATCTGAAGCAGGCTCCAGGCTCTGAGCTGTCAGCATAGAGCCCAATGCGGGGCTCAAACTCACAGACTGTGAGATCATGACCTAAGCCGTAGTCGGAAGCTTAACTGTCTGAGCCACCCAGGTGCCCCAACTTGGGAAATTTCTAAGAATGGAATTTTTCTGGTTCAGATATAGATTATCTTTTCTCTTTTAAAATCTGAGCAGACATCTTCAGATTTTGACTTTTTATTGGAAATTGCATAGCACTGGGATCATAGAATAACTGAACTATATATCAGTGACAAATATATTTATGTATATATCACTCTACTAACATTTGTTCGTGTACTTTGCCTATTTGCACCATCGTCTTTTTTAGTCTATAATTTTGGAGCATGTAAATAACAAGAGAATGTGTCTCACGATGCAAATTCATGGTTTTGTTGATTGAAGTTGTCAGTTGTGGATATTTTGCTAGGGGATAGCTGATGTGATATAAATCTACATTGATTCTAATACAATTCAGTGGAATAATTTCAAATACTGTTTACTCTTGGGAGAAAACACTTTCTCATCATATATGGATGCATGCCTCAAGGATAAGGACATAGCTAGTCATTCCTTCTCCAACCTATCCCTAGGTCTTCTCTTATACAAATGCCTTTTCCTCTCACTTATCATTGAGTTTTCTCTTGCAAGCATTTCTTTTGTTTTCCTGCATCATAGCTTTTCCCCAGGATGAATATATAAGCATGGTGTGTTAAATGTCCTCTATACAAAGCTTCCATTGATCCCATGGTGCCCTTCCATTCAGTGCCCCATTTCTCTGTACCATTCCCACAAGACACTTTCCAGAAAAACTCATCTAAAGAGTTGTCTCAGCATCTCCACTTTCTCTCCTCTACTTCTTTTGCTCATCTCGGTAAGCTTCCATCCTTGCCACTCCCTGTTGGAGTGCTCTAGGGTACAACCGTGAACTCTCTCCTCCCCTACACTTACTCTCTAAATGATCACATTGACTCGTGTAGCACCCTGATGAATCCCAGATTTGCTTCTCTAAGTGCTGATATCTTTCCTGAGCTCAGGACTATCTCCCCCAAACACCTAAATTTTAATATTCTTCAGAGGACTCACCGCTGTATGAAGTATTATTTTTCGTATTTATTAGCTATTTCTCTTCTAGAATACAAATGCCATATTAATGAATAGATCTTATGCTTTTGATTTTCCTTTCAGTTGCTCTATTTGAGGTAGTTCTTAAATACTGCATTATTTTAAAAAAATGAAAATATAACTTTTTACCATTACCATGAATTTTTGCCTAAATTTTACATATTTTTTTCGTTTCTCCTTTCCCCTGATAATAGCACTCCCATATGTAATCCTCACTGACAAACTACTGTATCATTTCATTTTTCTCTGTACTTATAAATACATGCATCAATGAACATACCTACGCATACAAACACACACACACATAAACAAAAATATGTACATACTGGGAAGGTTTGATCACCATTCTTTTATAAAAATATGTTCATTCTCTCTCTCTTTCCCTCCCTCTCTCTCTGCCACTCCCACTCTCTGTCTCTCAAAATGATAAAAAAAAATAGTTCATATTATTTGCACTATACTGTATCTTGTTTTTCTCATCCAATGTTACCTTTTAGAGCTTTCTATATGGTGCATATATATGTAGATGAAGGAAAAAAACACATGGTCCCTACCTCCATAAAACACACAATCTAAAGGAATAAAAGTATACGTGATACCACCCACATTTGATTACTGTTCAATTAACCAATGTGGGAAAATGCCAGTCTCTGTAAAAATAAGAATTCAATGTGGTAAAACCTGTAGTTTATGTCTACCTTTCTAAAGTCAGTGGGGACTCTGGGTGCTAGACCTACATTGGATCTGAGGGTATTACTTTCTTGTACCTGGTGTACGTGATATTTGGGAGTAGTCAGAAGGTAGGGACTTATGATACAAATGATACAACAAATCCACTTTTGGTTGGGCAATCCACATGCACCTCCAATCTAGTCCCTCCCAAAGTTTCTCAACTTGGGCACATCATTTGTGGTTGTGGGGGATATCCTGTGCATTGTAAGATGCTTAGCAGTGTCTCTGGCTTCCACTCACCACGTCACTATTAAAACCTGTCTCCCGAGTTGTGACAACCCAAAATGTCTCAGACATTTCAAATGTCCTATGGGGAGGGGCATAAAGTCCCTAAGTTGAGAACAATTGGTATAGGCAGAAAAGGCAAGTCTGGGTTAGAATCCTGTAAGATGGAGACTGAAGAGACCCAATAAAGAGAAGTTTAGAAGTGGAGGTTGGGGAGGAGTGAAGGAAGCGTGTTCAATCCACTTTCTGAGATAATGGAAATGTTCTGTATTTGTGTGTTTTATACTTGTGGTAGTCACCAGCCATGCTGCAACTATTGAGGACTTAAAATATTGCTGGTGCAACTGAGGGACTAATGTTAATTTAATCTGATTTCATTTTAATTAATGTTAATTTAGATTAAAAGTCACATGTGCCTAGTGGCTACTGTATCAGATGTGTAGATCTAGAATATTGTTTTGCTCAGACTTGGCAGTTAAATTCCTTTCTCTGTAGCCACGGGTTTGATGTGTCTGAAGTCTTTGTAGAAATTGAGAAAAATCTTATATTTTAACAGTCAGCTGGAACTCTAGTTTAATATTTATAAAATATGAATAACAACATTTTAAATGTTAAGTTAAAAGGTTCCATTTTCTTTAATACAACATGATTAATGTATTATTGTAAAGAAATTAACATATCGTGATTTTAGAAATGCTTACCTATAAATATAACACAGGTAGGTACAACAATGTCTTTATTGGGCACCATATAAAAGGGAGAGTTAAAAATCCCTTTTAAGAGCTTTTTTTTCTCACTGTGGTTATGAAGGATTTGCAATATATTCATTAAGGGAAATAATGTGAATTCATTGGGAGATATATGTATATTATGTGTGTTGGAGAAAGAGAGGAAAAGAAGAGAAATGTCTTGCCACTGGGCTAGATAATTAGGTGAAGGTCAAATAAACACAACTGGAATGAAGAATTTAGAAGAGGAAAGATCGATGTATAATATTCAGCTTTTGTGTTTATTTTAAGCTTCTAGTGCTTCCCTAAGTCAACAAAAATATAAAGATAAAAAATGTGCAGAAACTCTGAATCTTAGCATAGTACTTAATCTATTTTACATTTGTTTGTTTGTTTTAAGTTTACTTATTTATTTTGAGAGAGAGCACGAGCATGTATGCACAAGCAGGGGAGGGACAGAGGGCGAGTCAGAGAGAGAATCCCAAGCAGGCTCTGTGTTGTCAGCGTGAACCCCATGTGGGGCTTGACCTGAGCTGAGCTCAGGAGCCAGACGTGTAACTGACTGAGCCGTCCAGGCCCCCCAAACCTATTTTACCTTAAATAAGTGTGCAACATAATGGCTCGGTATAGGTAGTTACTGTTAAATGACCACCACATTAGGGCTAGTTAACATCCATTACCATACATAGTTACAATTTTTTCTTTTTTTTTTTCAACATTTATTTATTTTTGGGACAGAGAGAGACAGAGCATGAACGGGGGAGGGGCAGAGAGAGAGGGAGACACAGAATCGGAAACAAGCTCCAGGCTCTGAGCCATCAGCCCAGAGCCCGACACGGGGCTCGAACTCACGGACCGCAAGATCGTGACCTGGCTGAAGTCGGACGCTTAACC